CTCTTTCTTTCTTTCTTTCTTTCTTTCTTTCTTTCTTTCTTTCTTTCTTCTCTTTCTTTCTTTCTTTCTTTCTTCTTTCTTCTTTCTTCTTTCTTTCTTTCTTTCTTTCTTTCTTTCTTTCTTTCTTTCTTTCTTTCCTTCCTTCCTTCCTTCCTTCCTTCCTTCCTTCCTTCCTCATCCATCTACCCACCCACCCAAATCTCAATTTGCAACCCTGGTTGGCTAACGTCTGGTTAAAACAAACAAGAACAAATAACCTCAAATTAAAACAACAATCATCAAAGTACATCTGAGGCCAAAGACAGTCTGAATCCTTTCAGATGGGGCTCTCATCTGCAACATCCTGGCTCAGGGTCTGGGGGGGAAAGCCAGGCTTTCACAGCCTTATAAAAGACCCAAACAACCTCAGCAAAAATGCTGATCCACGCAGCAGGTACAGCAACAAGGAAAGCAGTCCCGTCAAATGTCATGTGGTGGTATTCTACTGGTTTGGCCTGGTTCGGCCGAACCAGTAGCGCCGAGGATCATCTGTGAGCGAACTGGTTTGCTCCGATGATCAGCTGATGATCTGACCTTTTTTTCCTGGTTTTGAAGCTCAGCTGCTTCACACGGCACAGCAGATTGCTGCGTGTCAGCTGTTGAACACACAGGGAGAGTGCAGGATTGAGGAGAAGGTCAGTAGCAAACCCTCTGCGTGCGTGCGAAGCGCGTGTACAAAGCGCGCCCACCAAGCCACGCCCACAGAACCGGTAGTAAAAAATTTGTATCCCACCACTGTATTCTACCAAACGGTCTCCGAGCATTGCCCATCCTTTGACTGATTGGCGATAAGTGGTCCTGCCAGTAATCATGTTCTGTGCCCTGAAGATGGACTGTGTGTTGCAGGAACCCAGCCAATGAGCTACAACCACAGGCTACTGAGTCCAGAGAGCCATGAATGACCAAGCTTAGTCCAGCGAAAGGAGGAGATGCACCTTGGCGGCGTAAGCTGACTGCCACGGAGCGGGCGCCAAAGCGGTTCCACGCCGTGCAGTTGTAGGGCAGTGCGAAGTCGTCGTCATGGGTTGGGTCGATCAGCAGAGCTGAGAGCACCCCTTGCTCAGTCACTACGGTGTCCACTGTGAAACGGTCCAGGGAGCCAGTGTCCAGCATCCGTTCGCCCCACGCCCAGGCCTGATGCAGAAGAGAAAGGTGAGACCAAGCGACACCGGGGAGACAACTCCAGGTAGTCCTCGACTTACAACCACAAGTGAGGTCCCCAAAATTCTCTTGGTAAGTGAGATATTTGTTAAGCGAGTTTTGCCCCATTTTACAACCTTTCCTGCCTTGGTTGTTAAGTGAATTACTGCAGTTGATAAGTTAGCAACCTGATTGTGAAGTGAATCTGGCTTCCCCTGTTGACTTCAGTCGTCAGAAGGTCGCAAAAGGGGATCGCGTGACCTCAGGGCAAAGCAACGGTCATAAATATGAACCCGTGGCCAAGCAGCTGAATTTTAATCACGTGACCATGGGGATGCTGCAGAGGGCGTAAGTATGAGAAACAATCATAAGTCACTTTTTTCAGTGCCGTTGCAACTTTGAACGGTCATTAAATGAACGGCTGGGAGCCGAGGACTACCTGTACAAGTAAGCCTCGCCTTACAACAGTTCATTTAGTGACCATTCAAAGTTAAAACAGCACTGAAAAAAGTCACTTAGGACCATTTTTCACACTTATGACCACTGCATCCCTCTGGCCACATGATCAAAATTCGGACACTTGGCAGCTAGTTCATATTTATGATGGCTGCAATGTCCGGTACGATCCCCTTTTGAGACCTGGCGAGCAAAGTCAATGGGGAAGCCAAATTCACTTCACAACTGTGTTGTCAACTCATAAAATGCGGTCTTTTTAGAGTTGCCAACAGAAAGGGAGGGGGGAGCAGTGCGGCAACTTGCAAACCGAAAGTGCATTCTATAAATGTTTTCAAAGATAGTAACTAGGTGACTGAAGTTTCTGCCACGCAAAATTCAAACTGGAGAACATGATTGATGACTCTTGGCTATGGATGTGTCCCATTGGAGAATATGAATTACGATACACTCAGGGGGTGGGGGAAAACCAGGGTCAAGGGTAACAATGAATTATGTATTTCAGAGTCAGCTACACCCAGGCAGTGCCGGCATGTTAACTCTCAATAAATCCTTTTTAAGTTTTGGAAGTTTGGCTCGAGACTCATGATTTAAATGGAGGTTAACTGCTGGAATCCTGACACGTGTTATTAATTTAACGCTACGTTTAGCAACCGTGGCAAGGAAGGCTGTAAAACGGGGCAAAACTCACTTAATGAATCTCTCACTTAGCAACAAAAATTTGGGGCTCCATTGTGGTCGTAAGCTGTGGACTACCTGTGTACACAGAGAACATCTAGGTAGCAGCTGCCACTTGGACGTCCTTTTTACAAAAATAAACCTCTTGGCTGATTTTTTTTCCACTCACGGCTCACACTGAATTTATTTTATTTGTTTGTTTGTCAAACATGTACAGGATAACAAGTACAAATGTGAACATAAACAAGAACAAAGGAATTAAATACAGGTAAATGGGGACAGTAAGACAGGGGCGGTAAGCAGGCTGGTACGCTTATGCACGCCCCCTTTAAGGACCTCTGAGGAATGGGGTGAGGTCCACGGTAGACAGTTTGAGGTTGAAGCTGTGAGGGGTTGAGGCTGTAACAATGGAGTTGGGTAAAGCATTTTTCTAAGTGGTGGTTGGGCATCACCAGCTCAGAAAAGCTGTTTATTACCTGTATACATTTGCTAATCTCATTTGTCTTTTCTTTTTGCAGACTAATGGAAGGGGGGGGGGGGGACCTCACTGGGATTTGAAAATGAAGCCACCTGGGAAAGTGATTTGGAGATGCAAGTTCTGTTTTGGTTTATTTTTTGCTATTTGGTATGGAGAGAGCCAAGCCAGCTCACTTCCCCCTCCCCTCCTCCCCCTCCCATGGATTCCACTTCTATTTTAAAAATTCTTTTTAGCCTGGAGTTGTATTAGTGGCTGGCTGGTGATATGGTTTTTTACAGAGAGAGAGAGAGAAAAGAAAAGAAAATGCACGGAGAGAAAAATGTGAACAGTGGAGAACAGTGCTATTGTGAGCTGCATCAGGGACTTCTGGTTGCGTCGGCTACTTAGAAAACCGAGCACACGAAGAAGCAGCGCCAGCCAGCAATATGCTGTCTCATCTACTTGTTCAGGGAGAAATCAAAGGCAGAAAAAGGCTGTGTTCCCTGCAGTTGAGAGCATCGGCGTTCTGGGCCACAGGAATCTGGATTCGGTGACCTGTATGTGATCTGCAGATAAAACAGGTTTGCCCAGACAGCTGGCTTTCAGTTTTGCAAAATTCATCCTGCTTTGGCTTGGCAGCTGAAGAAAATGCTGATGGTTGAGTTCCTGCACTGAGACCTAAATGTCTGGTCGTGGTTGTCTCAAAGGTGCTTTTTTCCCCAAGAGGCAATTGGACTTTGTTTTTTTTTTTTTTCCTCTGAAGACGTTTTGCTTCTCATCCAAGAAGCTTCTTCGGCTCTGACTGGATGGTGGTGGGGAACGGAAGGATTTATACTCCTTGCGGACAGTTGGCCATTTGCATTCTTTTTAGAGAGTCATTGAGGCCACTTGGAGGTTTATCTGTGTCCTGAGGGTCACAGTGCAAATGGGTATGGAGAATAGGTTGGCACTACTCAGGTGACCCTGAGGACACAGATAAACCTCCAGGTGGCCTCAATGACTCTCTGAAACAGGGGTGTCAAACTCGCAGCCTGTGGGCCAGATGCATCATGCGCTGGCTGCGCCCACCCCCGTTTTAGTGAAGGGGAAAAGAGTCACGATACATCACGTGATGACTGACGCCGCGAGTTTGACACCCCGGCTCTAAAAAGAATGCGAACGACCAGCGATCCGCAAGGAATATAAATCCTTCTATTCCCCACCACCGTCCAGTCAGAGCTGTAAGAAGCTTCTTGGATGAGAAGCGAAACCTCTTCAAAGAGTGGTGTTATCTTCCCACCAAAGGGGTACCTATTTATCTACTCTCATTTGCATGCTTCCCTAGTTCCCTTGCAGCTAAAGGGAAGGAGAATGGGAGGAGGCCCATTCAGAGTTGCAAGATTCTGTTCCTTAACCCTTCTAATCGAAACAGTTTTAGCAGTTATAACTTTGGTATTCAACTTCTGCAGGGCTGGCAAATTCTGGATAGGTAACACAGACACTGGAGCGCAGGTTAGGATTCATTTGGCTTATCAAAGCGGGCCCTGATCTGACGCAGTTGGACACCCTGGGCTCCCTCTCTCTGGCGGGACAATGCTAGTTTGCATCCTCCAACGAAGCCCTGCATTGTTTAATTGTGGTCTGCAGCTTTTCTGGTGTTGATTCTTTTGGCACTCCCCAAGGCCCTTCCCTACAAGTAATTTAATGGTCTTGCATAGCTTTGATTTTTTTGGAGAAGAGCAATAACAAGACTGCACATCGCTGCACATCTACACCCAGCGAAGTCTCCACGGAGACAAGCAGGTAAGCCTGAGTATTTTTGCAGCCTAAGCCTGCTGGGGCTTTGGGGGGAGATGAGAAATTGGATTTTAGACTTATTGTTTCATTAATAATTCCACTCCAGCCTTCTTGCTGTTTTTAACTGTTTGTACACCTATCAATTACACTTTTAAAAAAAGGTGGCGCTTCATTGTTTGCTAGTGGCCTGGAGGCTCTCTCTCTCACATGACAAGGATATGAATGGACAGGGGGAAAAAAAACAGTTGCCATAGTTTTCCTGGTCAGCCAGGCAGAAGCTGGAGCAGCCATGCAAATGAGCTCACTGCCTATATGTAATAGATCCTCCTTTTAGAAATCCCTGGGGGCTAAATGTCCTTTCATCTGGTTTAGCTGAAGATCTGCCCACATTGTCCGAATCTACCAGTTTAGGCTGGTACGATACGAAGATCTGAATCACTGTTGGGCCTTAATGTCAGGGCCTTTTTGGTGTTGGCCCCTCATCTTTTGCAGTAATGTGCCCTGTTTCCTCAAAAATATGACCTACCTTGAAAGTAAGCCCTACCTTGATTTTTTTTTTACACGTGTGCCCAATATGAGACCTACCCCCAAAATAAGCCCTAATTAGGATCCCACCCACTCCAGAGTGCACTGGTAAAAATTAAGCTAGGTGGGGATGGAGCAGCCCTACTACTTACCTTTGGACAGTTGTAGCCAGGCCTCGCACACCCCGACACCTGCCATGCCGGCCCATTTCTTCTGCAGCCGGCAAAGCTGGCAAAGCTTTCCTGAAGGCCTCTGTAGCTGATAAGAAAGCTCCGGATCGATCCAGAGCTCGGTTATCAGTTGCAGAGGCCTTCAGGAAAGCCTTGCCAGCCGCAGAAGAAGAAGTTCCTGAAGGCCTCAGACAGCAAAAAGGAGGCTGGGGGTGACGTGCTTAAGTGAGGTTAGTGGATGACATCCCCCGAAAATAAGACCTGGTGCCTTTTTTGGTGGCAGAAAAAAATATAAGACAGGGTCTTATTTTCAGGGAAACACGGTACTTTGCTGATGGCCCCACCAAGGTTAGCCATCCGAAGAGTTTTGAAGGAAAACTATGGGTAGTCCTTGACTTACAACAGTTCACTTAGTGATCGAAGTTACAACGGTGCTGAAAAAAAGTGACTTATGACTATTTTCCACACTTCCGACTGTTGCAGCATCCCCACGTGATTTACATTGGGATGTTTGACAAGGGACTCGCATTTATGACAGTTGCAGGTCATGTGGCAAGGTCATGTGGCATCATTCTGGCCAGCAAAGTCAATGGGGAAGCCAGAATCACTTAACAACCGGGTTACTAACTTAACAATCGCAACGATTCACTTAACAACCGTGGCCAGAAAGGTCGTAAAATGGGGCAAAGTTCACTGAACAAATGTCTCACTTAACGACATAAATTTGGGGCTCCATTGTGGTCCATGGAGGGCCACAAAAGTTGAGGACTACCTGTACAATGTTGTATTTTAATTTAGTTTCAAATAAAAGGAAATCAAAACATAATTAAAAAGAGAGTACAGGTTATCCTTATGACCCAGAATTGTGGCAGCGAGTTTTTGCCTGATTTTATGACCATTTTTTGCCAGAGTTGTTAAGTGAACTACTGCAATTGTTAAAAAGACTCATACACTCGTTAAGTGAATCTTGCTTCTCCTGTTTACTTTGCTTGTTAGAAATTGATTGGGAAGGTGAAAAAGTGGAGATCACATGACTCCAGGATCAGTGGTGGTATTCAGCAGGTTCTGACCAGTTCTGGAGAACCAGTAGTGGAAATTTTGAGTAGTTCAGAGAACCAGCAAATCCCACCTCTGACTGGCCCCGCCCCCATCTATTCTCTGCCTCCCATTGAGAGTCCCAGCTGATTGGCTGCGTCTTCTTTGGTTGCCCTGCACAGGAGAACGGAGCTGCAAAGCAGGTTAGTGGGGTGGGGAGGAAATGGGGATTTTACAGTATCCTTCCCCTGCCACACCCACCAAGCCACACCCACCAAGCCACGCCCACAGAACCGGTAGTAAAATTTTTTGAATCCCACCACTGCCCAGGATGTTGCAATAGTCATAAATACAGGACAGTTTGCGATGTCCGCTACAAAGCACCAAATTTTGATCACATGACCATACTGGACCATATTGCAAGTTATAAGTCACTTTTTCCAGTGACTTTGTAACTTCGAGCAGTTGCTAAATAGTTTGTAAGTCAAGAATCTTATCTGCATCTTATTTATGTTATCGTTGGATTATTTATTTTGGCGCTGATGTTGCTTGCCTTGATCTGTTCTTTTACATGGCTAATGAATCTGAGCTTCCTTTTTGACATAGGTATTGGTCATTGAACTTTTTAAATTGTTGGGTATTATTCTGAAGCAACTTTTTTCCACTGGCTCTCAAATGCTCTTGGGGAAATTCTTTCCAGGCCAGTTCATCCATCAAACAACTGTGTTAGAGACACAGACCCGTTTAGTATTTATAACTTGTCTTTTATATTTTAAAATACCTTAAAGATGGCTTTGATCTTGGGGCTAGGAAATTCATCAAGCTAAGGAAGGAGCCAGCTTTGCGATATTATATACAGTGTGCCTTCAAAACTAGAAATCTGTGTACAGTTAAAGAACTGCTATTTCCTTGGGTGCTGAATTCTAAGCTTGCATGGCAAATTGGGCAAAAATCTTGCCCCCTCCCCTTTTATTTTTATTGTATAAAAAAACAAAAAAAGAAACGAAAATAGGAAGTTAAGGGAAGGAAGGGGAAGGGGAAAAAGGTGTGTGAAATACAATGAAGAAGAGAAAAAGAAAGAAAGAAAAGGGAGCATTGACTTGCAACTCCTCCTAGCCCAGTACAAGATAAACACACTTCAACCTCAACTTTTTGCATATTAACATATTAACATATAACTAGCCGTTTCTATAACACCAAATCTTTCTGATCAACACAACCCAAATCAGAGTTTCATTTTTTATTCTTCACAAGCAGAAATTCCAGAAGTGATATCTAAATAAGAACATATTTTCCTCTTTAGATAAAGTATTCAATTTAACCATCGCTGCTTTACCTTCCTTGCTATGGAAATAGGATGTATTTCTATTGGTACCTAGTAATCTTTGTGAACTGTCACACCATTTTTATTTACAAACGTTTATTGTATTCTTACTAATTGGGCAAAGATCTAATGAAAGGCCAATGGAAGGTCATTAAAAGATTGCAATACTTACGATCCGGTCCGGCCGTGGCACGCTTTCCACCAAGCATTCCAGACGGGCCTTGGCTCCCACTGCTGTCTGCTGGCTTGATTCAGCACTGATAATGGGTGGACCTGGAAACAAAGGCCCAACCTGAGCAAATTAGAGGTTTTGGATCAGGGGTGCGATTCAATTTTGGAGCGATTCAACCAGTGTTAAAAAACAGGTTCAGTGAGCCAAATATGTGCTTCGCGCGCACACAGTGTTTGCTACTGACCTTCTCTAGCAATCTCTGTGTGTTAAACAGCTGACGTGCGGCAATCCATTGTGCCGTTCGAATCAGCTGAGCTTGAAAACCAGGATATAAAGTACAGACTAGAGCTGCAGTGGGCTGGTGGACCCAACAGCTGATCGTCGGAGCGAACCAGTTTGCTCACAGCTGGTCCTCGGAGCTACTGGTTCACCTGAACCAGGACGAACCGGTAGAATCCCACCCCTGTTTCGGAGTCCTGGGTGCTCTCTGAGCCTGGTTGTTTAGACATTTCTAGACATTTCATTATGAAACTACTGTAGATAATTAACATCAGTGTCTTGTGAGTGTGGGGTTTGCTCCCTCTTTATATAAAGTAGCTTGTCCTGCCAATGTTTCTGGGAGCTTTATCCTTGGTAGTTCCTTGATTAGGTATTGTTTTCTGCTTGATTGTTTGCATGGTGTTAACCTCTGCTTATCCGGTGTCAACCGTTGGATGGAATCCTGTCTTTTTGTTTAATTGGTAGCTTTTAAATTGTCTCTTTTAACTTTGATTTATCTCTATGTGTCTATTGATGGCTGATTTGTCTGAATAGCAATAGCACTTAGACTTATATGCCACTTCACAGTGCTTTACTGTCCTCTCTAAGCGGTTTACACAGTCAGCCTGTTGCTCCTCATTTTATCAACCTTGGAAGATGGAAGGCTGAGTCAACCTTGAGCCTGGTGAGATTTGAACTGCCAAATTACAGGCAGCCGGCAGTCAGCAGAAGTAGCCTGCAGTACTGCACTCTAACCACTGCGCCACTGTGAATGCCAAGCTTTCAGGAATTCCTTAGCATTTTTGGACTTGATTTGGTCTAGGATGCTCAGTTTCACAGCTGAAACTATGGTTGAGCCTATAGCCAGGTGTTGTGAGATTTAGGAGTTTTCATCGTGCCTTCTAACTACTAGTTGGTGTTCATGAATGTTGCTTCTGCCTGCCTGTCCTACATGGTGGTTTGTTAACACTCCTTAACACTGTATCTCATACATACAATGTTATACATAAATATGTTGAATATTTACCATGCATCTACAATATTGTAGATGGTTGTGTGTTGCAAACACATACTCAGAGAGCACCAAGGACTGAGCTGCGTATATTCTCTTTTATTGGAAATTAGAAGTTGTAACCTCTTAGCTCCTCATTGAAAAGCTCCTTAAGAGCTGGCTGTGGTCTTAGGCCTGGGGGGTCCTCAGACAACTGGAGACTGGCTTAGGTGGCTCCACTGACAAGGTTGCCATTTTTATCCTCTCTCCCCTGGGGGTTTGTATTTCTAACTTTTATTATTTGTAATACGGATTAACATTTTTGCCAAATTTGCTGTTTGTAATCTGAGCGCTGTTCACTGCTCAGATTCACCAACAGTGAGACGGAAGGCTACATAAACTTGAATGAATGAATTGAATTTGAGAGGGAATCATGATTTGACTACCATGGGATTTAGTGGTGGGATTCGAATTTTTTTACTACTGGTTCTGTGGGTGTGACCTGGTTTGGTGGTTGGCCTGGTGAGTGTGGCAGAAGGAGGATACTGCAAAATCCCATTCCCTCCCCACCCCACTAACCTGCTTTCCAGCTCCGTTCTCCTGTGCAGAGCAACCAAAGAAGACCCAGCCGATCAGATGGGACTCGGGAGGCAGAGAATAGATGGGGGCGGAGCCAGTCAGGTGGTATTTGCCGGTTCTCCAAACTACTTAAAATTTCTGCTACCGGTTCTCTAGAACTGGTCAGAACCGGCTGAATACCACCTCTGAATGGGATGGTTTCAATAAATGAGGAGGGAAAAGTCCTACTTTCCTCTTAGCAATTCCTCCCCCCTCCCCAATTTGGGAAATGGTTTGCACCATCTCCACCCTTTGCCAGATTTGCCCTTCCAAGCCTTGAACCCTCACCATTCACAGCCAGGGTCACTTCTTTCTCGGCCACTCCAATGCGAGGCACGATGGCTTTGCACACGTACACCCCGGCATCCTCTTGTGTCACTGCCTTGAGATGCAGTGTGTTGCCGTTACTCAGCACCTGTTGGTACAAGTTGACTCAGTTGACCATGTCTTCCTTAATGGCCAAGGACAATGAGATTCTAAAAATACCAGGGAGGCCACCTGTTGCCCATCTCCACTTGAAAGGAACGAGTTGGAAGGAGTCTGATAGCATCTTTTCCCACTTTTTACTAAAAGGTGTAAGATTTCATGAGCTGCAATCTCCCTTCATCAATTGCATGGCATCTTTGGATTAAATTTGTAAGTTGGAAGAGGTGCTACCACACCTCTCTTAATTTGGGGCTACTGCTGATTAACATGACATTTCTCCTACAATGTCTCCTAGGAAAACAATGAGGGATCGGTGGAAACAGACCTTTTGTTAGTGATGGGCCCAGTTTTGGTATTGTTTACCAGTTGCAAAGATAGAAATCAGGGCCAGGTGTAGACCTGGGGAGGCCTAATACATGGGAAGAGGTAGAGCAGTATTTTACAATCTTGGCCACTTTAACTCACTTTAACTTTGACTTCAACTCCCAGAATTGCAGCTCGTTGTGGAATTCTGGAAATTGAAGTCCATGCCTCTTAAAGTGGCCAAATTGAGAAACATTGCTGTAGAGCAATATTTGACTTTCTTTGTTTTTCCTTTGCTTTGCTTCTTCTCACCGAAGAATCTTCTTCAGTACTGACTGAAGTTCTTTAGTTCAGCCCAGAACTGAAGAAACTTCTTGGGTGAGAAGTCTTCAAGGAAAAACAAAGGAAGTCCAACTGTCTCTTGAAAAAGCACCTTTGGGTCTATCCCTGAGTGTTTCTCAACCATAGTGTTTTACAATCTTGGCCACTTTAAGATGTGTGGACTTCAACTCCCAAAATTACAGCTGGTTGTGGGATTCTGGGAATTGAAGTCCATGCCTGTTAAAGTGGCCAAATGGAGAAACACTGATGCAGAGCAATATTTGGCAAGTGCTAAGAAGAAGGCTGTGGAATAGCTGAACTTGGCAAGAATGTCATCAGGATGTATAACAGGTCTGTGATGGGTTGGGGGATGAGCTTTCTTTGAAGAGCAAGGCCGATGCTGCAGAAACCAAACATATTTTAATCTTCATTGATGAGGAACAGATTGTGATGATCCGTAGTCTCTCAAAATAACCCAAAACCCAAAACATATATTAACGTCCGGTAAGGCCTTCAACTTAACTTCACTGTTTTATTAGACACAGTTTAAAGTCACAAAAGTAAATAATGAGGCAAACAGAAAACCAAAACAAACCACATTGATGAGAGTTCCGAAGCAAGCCAAGATAACTAATCATAAACTCCAAGAAAATAACCGAGAAAAGTCCATGGAAAGAACGCCAGCAAAGATAAACCTCTTTCATGGTGAAGACTAAATTGACTCCTGCAAATTCTAACTGCGCAGTTGCAAACTTATATAGCTCCCACCTGCAAGCCACGAGGAGGATCATGGTAATCTCCTCTTGAGTAGACCTCACTTTTCCCTGATCCTCTCCTCCCTGCGTGACCTAGGATGGATAGGGGATGGGCCTGGGTCCTCCTCTGACTGCTCAGCCGGCCTCTGCCCTTCCCCAGCCTCCTCCACCACCTCTGGAGCCACACTCCCACTCCCTGTTGGCTGTTCCTCCTCTTCCTCAGAGTCGGTCTCCACCAGGGGCATGACACAGATGTACTACAGAGGAGACCTTAACTGATGAAGACTGTCTCATATGACATTGTAAGAGATCTGGCTTAATTTACGATGCCCAGAAATCAGGGGTCTGGTAGCATCTTTTCTGATGAAGGCATGGGATTGGAAGGCATCAACGTTCTCAGCTCATCAGACACAACTCACGAAAGCTGACGCGGTTTAATCAAATATATTTGTCAGAAAAGATGCTATACCGGACTCTTCCTATTAAAGTTGTAACCGTAATAAATGAAAAACCATCTTAAATTTTGAGAGGCCCCTTTAGGCTGTGGACAACCATGTTACTTGGCTGATGCCTGGTGAGTTTGGCTCTATGGCTAAAACTTTGGTGAAAGTCTCTCATTCTAATCTCTTGTCTACCTTCTGATTTGGAGCTTGTGCTCACTATTAAAATGGGAGAGAAAATGGAAACTGACGGTCAAAGCTGAACTCACCACAGTGGATCCTTTCTTTGTCCAGGCCAAGGTTAGAGGTGGGTTCCCAGTCCAGGTGCAGGTGAAAGAGGCATCTGAGCCGATGTCCACCGTCAGGGGCTTGGGCTGGGAGACAAGGTGAGGCCCAACTACAGGAGTAAAAAAAGACGAAAGAGTTAGTTGAGCATCAATGACAACAGCCAATAAGTTGGTAGAAGCCTCAGGATTCCACTTCATAGTCTAACTCTTATCTCTTGGTCTGAGTGTCTATGGAGATTCTCAGTCATCAGGTCATGGTTGTCCCAAAAGTGCTTTTTCAAGAGGCAACTGGACTTTCTTTGTTTTGCTTCTCACCCAGGAATCTTCTTCAGCACTGACTGAAGTTCTTTAGTTCAGCCCAGAACTGAAGAAGCTTCTTGGGTGAGAAGTCTTCAAAGAAGAACAAAGAAGTCGAACTGCCTCTTGAAAAATCACCTTTGGGTCTCGCTCTGAGTGTTTCTCAACCTCAACAACTTTAAGATGTGATGACTTCAACCTCCCCAAATGGCCCATCCAGTTTTGTATCCCTGGCTTACCTATAGAAATTACAGGTTTAGTCTCCAGGGAAATAGCAATAACACTTAGACTTCTATACCGCTTCTTATAGCCCTTTCCAAGTGGTTTACAGAGTCAGCCTATTGCCCCCAACAATCTGGGTCCTCATTTTACAGAACTTGGAAGGATGGAAGGCTGAGTCAACCTTGAGCCTGGTGAGAATTGAACTGCCAAATTGCAGGCAGTCGGCAGTCGGCAGAAGTAGCCTGCAGTACCGCATTCTAACCACTGCGCCATCACAGCTCATAAATGCTAGGGGGGAAAAATGCTTGCTGAAACCCCCCCAACCTCTTCCCTAATTCCTTTTTGAAAGTTTTGACTTACAGTGGACGTCCACCAGAGTGCTAACATTGGTGCTGCCCACAGCGTTGGACACTTCACACGACACGGGCTCTGTGAAGAAAGACTGGTCAACTGTGGCTTCGTAGCTGTCACCGTTGGCCTCTGGGATGGGGACACCTCCTTTAGCCCACCTGTCAAGGGAGATACGGACTTAGGAGATCTTGACTCAACATGTTAAACTCTTAAATCTGGGCTCGGGTCATGGGCAGTGGAATGAGGCTGTGAGAATAACTTGGGAGTAGGAGGAAGAGCCGCAGACTAGTCACCAAAGAATGGAGGTCGAGAAAGCATCTCAGAAGGGATTCTCTTTTATTCTATGGAAAGTCAAGGTAAGGGCGAGGAGAAGTATTTTTAGATTTGCAAGTTCTCTTACTATAACCTTACAATAATGGTAGTGTTGGTATTTGTGTTTTTGATTTCATGTCTGGACTACCACAACAGGCTGATAGAAGTGTCCAAATAAATAAATCACAGTCTGGCTTAACATTGTGACCTGGTTCATCCTCCATGTTACCACATTGGCGGAGTAGATTCTTGCAACCACAACCAACACAGCCAACTAATATTACTCTACTTTTGTGTTTCATAGGAACTCGGTTGCTTGGTTGTCATTGCCTTCACATTAGAACCTGTCGCCCTTCCACCCAAAATGTTAATGTACTTTCCGGCTACTGAAAGTGTGCCCATTCCTGTTGTAGAAGAAAAAGCGGTGACCTTTTTAATTTACTCAAGAGATCAGTAAAGGCGTGAGAGCAAGGAGAAGTTACTCCTTTTCTCTCATGATACTAGAAGCCAAAATCCATAATGAAGCTGAGCAGACATGTTTAGAGCAGACAAATAGAGAATTTTTTCATGCGGTGTACAGTTGCCCTGGGGAACTTCCTGCCACAAGAATGGATGATGGTTACCAAATTAAGATGGCTTAACAATTGGATTACAGAAAACCAGTGGAAGGTATCAATGATTACTAATCATTTGGATTATGAACCCTCACTAGATTCAGGGACCATACACTTTTGAAAACTAGAGAATACAAGTGGGAAGTAGTGTAACTTTTGAACTGATCCATGTTAGCTAATTCTTACACATCAGCAGGACAAGTAGAGATAGCCCTTGGTTACCAACTGTTTGTTCAGTGATTTAAGTGCTTGGCAACCAGCACACATTTATTAGCTACACCACCCCATGGTCACATGATCACCATTTGTGCCCTGACAATCCTAAATCCGGTGAAGTCACCTGAAATTTCATTTAACAACTACGTCACTTAGCGATAAAAGAGTTGCCGACCCCAATGGAGGTCAGTAAGCAAGGACTTTCATCTGAATAACTGAGCGGGCAATCCTCCACGTTGCCATTAGAGGGCACTTCAACCCCACAATTGCTCCATTTGAACTCTGCAGCTTCTTCAGATTCTATCTGATTCCTTACCGGTAACCAGTCACTTCAGGATTGGAAGTTGCGGTACAGAGGAAGCTCACTTTGCCGCCTTCAGGCACAGTTTGTGGCTGTACAGACAGGATCACAACGGGTGGATCTGTAAGGTGGAGAAGAGGGACGGGGGGGGGGGGGGGGGGGAATCCCAATTGTTTTATTTCTCCATTGTACAATTTTTCCACAGGACAATACTATGTACATAGTTTTGTACATAGTACAATACAGCGACCCAAAGATCATTAGCATCACAATTCTCTCACACCCTAGTCTTCATCAAGCAAGTTTGGGAAACCAATTCTGCAAAAAAGTGGGAGAATTATTATGGGGTGTGGTGTCTAGTTCTGCCAGCAGCGACTTAGCTCCCTGTTGTGGTTAGCCGGCAGCAGGTGTGCTGAGGAGAGTGAGGACTCAGGTGAGGGGCCAGGACCATTAGGAGTGGACTGCTGCCTTCAGAGATTGTGGGGGCTGGCAGCAGCGATGAGGAGGTTCCCGAGGAGCCTGTGCCAAGTGTGCATGCACGCAGGGTTGCTTGCAGGAAAAGAGCAGCTGCGACAGCACAGGCGACTTGGCAGTAAGGCTGCAAGGTAATGTGGCCCCTCCTTCAAGAAGATAAAAAGCCAGCTGTGAAGCGAATGTTCTTTGCAGGAAGCAAAGACGTTTTGAAACTCCAGCCTCATGGACATTGCAGTTATTTTAGTTGGTATTTGAAGACTCTTGTTGTAAAATATGTCTAGGTAACCTTATCTGTTATTTTTGGCAGCCTCACACAGTTTTGGCGAGGCTTGTGCTTATCAAGGTTAATTAGTTTGCAGCAGCCTTTTAACCAGGGGATTCGTAAGAATCATTAAAAGGTTTCTATTCCCTTTGGTTCGTGTTTGTTTTATTGGACAAGGGTTTGGGTCAGGACACTCCCTTGCTGTCTGTTTGCGGATCTAGTTGGATCCCTTGCTCTCTGTCTTGTGGGTTAACTGCTATCCATCTAAGTAGAGTTAGACCTTCTCAGAGGCCGGCATCCCAAAACCAGGGAGCCACAATCCCAGTTGCTTGCTGTGCTTCATGTTTCCTGGGCTTCTCTCAATGATCAGGTACCTGATTTTCAGTCCCAGCTGCAGTAAAATACAGTATTTGCCTCCAACTTAATTGTTTGACTGGGCTTCTTCCTGCTTCTAATAACAGCCTTAGAATGCTGAGGTCAGCTCCTATAGGCAGCTCATATGTATAAAAGTGCACAGAATCCTAAAATTGGAAGAAATTACTTTTAACCTTCAGGTCCACAGTTCAGTGGAGGAATCCAAATTAAAGCATTCAGACCAATGGCTGTCCTTCTCTGCTTGGACATTTCTGACAAAGGTCAGCTTATTCCATCCCCAGATCACTGACTCCATTACTGAGTGGCCCTCGCAAGCTCAGAAAGGTTTTCCTAACATTCCATCATTCAAATTATTATTATTTTTCTGTCCTGCTCAACATCTCAGGCATTCTTTCTGGTATCTGAAGAATGCTATTGTGTGGGTGTCCTCTCTTCTCAAAGTTAAACATTCTCAGTGTCTTCTTCACTTAAAAGACTTTCCAGGTCTTTAATGGTAAAAGAATGTCTCCCTTCACAAAGCAAATTGTAATCTGGGGATTCATCTGGGTACGTCACCTCTTAGATGACCTTAGCCCATATCTTGGATTGATACCCTTGATGTTTTGTGAGCGCTAGAGGGGAACAATGCTTTGTGAAGATTTCCTGCGGTAAGGGGGGGGGAGGGGCAGGACACAAATGTAATCAATGCATCTATGGCTGGGGATTAGCTCAGCTATCTTGAGCTAATCATTAAATTACGAGTCTGACTCTGTAAACCGCTTAGAGAGGACTGCAAAGCATTGTGAGGCAGTATATAAGTTTAAGTGCTATTGCTATTAAGAGTCCTTCCAAACTCAGTGGTCTACCTGACCATTTCTTGGCCACAAACCCAAGCGCAGGGGCCTCTGACTCATCCAGTCCTCCTAAGAACTGAGAAGCCTTGGATACTTACACTGAACGTTAAGGGTGACTGAGGTCTGCTTGCCAGCAGGGGCTGCTGGGTTGCTGACACGACAGGTGAAGGTGCTGCTCCTGTCTCGGCTGCTTGGGATTAAGAGGAAGGTGCTGACAGCCACTTCCCGCTTGCCATCATCCATCAGGGACTGCAGGAGAACAAAGAAGACGCATTTGGAGCAGAGGTGGGTATTCAGCCCGTTCTGACCAGTTCTGGAGAACCAGTAGTGGAAATTTTGAGTAGTTCGGAGAACTGGCAAATCCCACCTCTGACTGGCCCCGCCCCCATTTATTCTCCACCTCCCAAGTCCCAGCTGATTGGCTGGCTCTCCTTTGGTTGCCCTGCACAGGAGAACGGAGCTGGAAAGCAGGTTAGTGGGGTGGGGAGGGAATGGGGATTTTACAGTATCCTTCCCCTGCCATGGCCACCAAGCCATGCCCACCAAGTCACACCACACCCACAGAACCGGTAGTAAAATTTTTTGAATCCCACTACTGTTTATAGCCAAACTTCTAGTGACTCTAGGAAGACCGGGCCGGAAGTTATAGACCTAGAATGCCATGGATTGCTCACAATTGGTTTGGAGATGGGCCTTTTCCCCTATCCCTCTCTTTGTTACACACAAGTCTACATCATACATTTTTGACACTTCACCTTAACCTGCCCATTTGTCAATATCATAGAATTATAGAGTTGGACGAAATCTTGGAGGCCTTCTAGTCCAAGTCCCTGTACAAGACAGAGGTCCATAGATTTCCCGCCCCCCCAAAGAGTTATCCTAAACTTTTCTTGAAAACCTCCAGTGATGGAGCATCTGCAATTCCAGGAGGCAAGCTCTTCCACTGCTTGTCTATGAAGATTCCCAACCATCCAGGTCAGGGTTGTCCCAAAGGTGCTTTTTTCCAAAACGTTTTGCTTCTCATCCAAGAAGCTTCTTCAGACCTCCGAATGAGATGATGAGAAGTGAAACATTTTCAAAGGAAAAAAAAAAAACCCAAGACAAGTCCAATGTCAACTCATAAAACATTTTGTGTACAATGTTTTATAATTGTCAACAGAAAGAAGGGGAGGGAGTTTCAAAGAGCAGGCGGGCAGTGTGGAATCGAAAGTACATTCCATTCATATTTTCTTCAGAGACTGATTAGATGACTGAAGCTTCTGCTGGGCAAAAATCTAATTGGAGAGCATGATTGAGGACTCTTGGCTATGGCCATGTTTTGTTGGATGATACACCCAGAGAGGTGGGTGGGAAAAGCAGGATCAAGGGTGACAGTGAATTACGTATCTCAGAGTCGGCTACGCCCAGGCTAATGCCGGCATGTTAATTTCTAATAAATCCTTTCAAGTTTTGGGAGTGTGGCTCGAGGCTCATGATTTAATTGGAGTAACTGCCGGAATCCTGACATCCAGTTGCCTTTTGGAAAAAGCACCTTTGGGTCTTCCACTGTTTAATCATTCTCAGTGCTACGAAATCCCACCTTACTTCCAGATTGGATCTCCCTCTGACATGGCCCAATGGGCAATTCTGACAACTAGCGATTGAAAACTGTCAGGCTGAGCTTACCCCAAAACTTGAAAACCCCCATTCCCAGGTCTCTGCCGCGCTCGGTGGGAACCAAAGCTCAACTCACTGACGCACCTTGGAGTAAACAGCTGATTCTTGTCGCTGCCCATCACGATACCAGGTGATTTCAGCTGCTGGCTTGGCTCCAGATGCGCGGCACGAAAGGTTGTAGGGGATGTTGGATATGACATGGACAATGGGGCCACTGTGAATCTCAGGGTCATTGGGAGGGACTGCAAGAACACAGGCAGAGAGGTATGGTTGGTTACCTTGTCTTGGAAAGAGGCTATAGACAACCAGGCCTGGGAACGACCAACTGTTGGCACTACAAAATTCATTCACTAATAGAAGATAATACTTATAGCTTGGGGTTGAACTGTGGAGTCCTTGGTACTCTCTAAACATCTTGCAGAAGTTTCATTATCCAGCTCGGGAACATCTTATTGCACTGAAAATTAACAACAACAACTTGGATGATGTTACCTAGTTGGGTAATGGAATGTCTACAAGGAAACAACCAAGTCGGACAGCACCAAGATCTCCACAATTCATTCACTTTTGCTCATTCTGTCTCTTGGTCTGATTTCTGCGGGCTCTCTACTATCCCCATTGGCTTATAATTCAATCTTCACTGCTCGGAAAAATGTAGAAAACAAGGCTTATGCTAAACCAGAATAGGTAAGCTTGATAGCCCCTTGCAAGGCCCCCATATCTGTGCGTGAAATGATTACCTTTCTGCAACAATGCTTTTAAAAATATGGGTGGAGAAGAAATGGGAGCAAGAGACCTGCAGAGACAACCTGGTCCATTTTCTACTCTTCCCATAATGGAGAATGGTATGTAGCCCAGGATTGAACCCTTGAGCTCTGAGCCTGCTTCTCTGCCTGCAAATATTTCATTGCCAGGTTTAATATCCTCCTCAATGCAGGTTAGTTTGCTGGCTTCGTGTTCTTATGCATCAATGAGCCAGCAAACTTTGTTCTCCCTGTCCTGCACTAATGATATTACCTCATTTATATTGTAAGAACACATGTGGACATGCAACAAAATATCTAATGTGCAATATTATATGAAATAAACAATAACACAGGTTAGTCCGCATTTAGCAATTGCCTTGTTTAGCCATCATTTGCAGTTATGAGGGTGGTAAAAAGGTAACTATACAACCAATCCTTGCATTTATGACTCGCAACCTTCGCAGGTCTGTAAAGCAAAGGAAAGCTGAAAGTTTGTTAGCATAGTAACCTAGTGACAGCTTTGCTTAACACCCAAGTTGCTGGTCCCAATTGCGGTCACTAAACAAGAACTACCGGTATCTGTAGTGAGAAGAGTTATATCATTTTAAATTTTAGCAAATATCTTTAATATCTGGCAAATAATTTTTATTTCATGGACCTCTGAGAGAATCTTGTGGGATCCCCAGGGATCCCCAGATCACACTTTCTGTCCTTTACAAACTTTCTAAGTTATCTTCATCAGTGGGAATGACTTCAAGCTTTAACGTGGGCATGGGCCAGCTTTCCGCAGAAGCCATCATGAGTCTGCAGGAGTGATCTTACATAACGAACCCTATCCACTTCTTCATAGTTCAGTTTAGGCTTTCATGATGCTCTCATGGAAAGATCAACCAGTGTCAAACTCGACTTCATTGAAGGCCGCATCAGGGTTGTGTTTGACCTTGGGTGGTGGGTGGGGGTGTGGCCAGGGTGGGCATGGCACAGCACTTGTGTTAGGGGGCACCTGTGGTGGCATGAGCACTCTGCCAGCGAAAATGGCCTCCCAAGCTCTGTTTTCGGCTGGGAGGGCCTCCTGCATCCCTCCGCCAGCGGAAACGGAGCTCAGGAGGGCCGCTCTGTTTTCACTGCGGGCTGGTCCTTCGTTGTTTCCAGGGCAGCCCCCCACGGGCCAGATCTAAACACACTGTGAGACGGATCCAGCCCCCGGGCGTTGAGTTTGACACCCCTGAACCAGAAGAATCTCTTGATTAGTGTATTAGCTGGGGTAAGCTGTTCAGGAGATCACCAATTGGGATTTTGAAAAACTGGGATCGTCTCACCGACAAAAACAGGAAGGTAGAAGGAAACTCACTAAGCACAGTAAGTTTAGCTCGCTGGGAGCGCAGCGCTGCTTGTGTGGCTTGGCACTCATAAACAGCATCGTCGTCTAGTTCAGCGTAGTCGATGCGTAAGTTGTGTTGACCGGCAGAGGCATCTCCTACAATTGAATAGCGGGACCAACCTGTGGAGAAAGCCATAGGGTAAGATATCAGCCTTTACCAGGTAGGCCAGATAGGAAACATGACCAGATAAGCTAACTCTACTTTAGTGTAAAGTTAGATTAATAGAATCTTGCAAGTCTGAAAATAGGCATCTCCCGCCATTATTTTCTGCAGCCCAAGAACAATCAACCCATGGAACAGAGGTTGCAGGAGCTTCATCACTGGAAGCTTTCAAGAAGGGACTGGACTGCCATCTGTCAGAAATGGTGTAGGTCTGCTTGAGTGGGGGGGTTGGGCTAGATGACCTACTAGGTCCCTTCCAACTCTGTTAATCTGTATCTGTAACTTAGGGGTGGTCTCTTCTGAGTCTCTTGCTATGTCCATTATACAGCTGTGGGCTCTGCTCCCTCTTATCCAATCATTCCCTAGGCAGGCTCTCTTTGCCTGGTCTCCCAAGGTCTTTCTCACACACCATTACTGTCAGCCTTCGAGATTTTCTTCCTTTGCTTTGCATCTTTCGGCTGCCATAAGTAACGGGGGGAGGACGGAGGACATGGTTATGGGAAGCGAGCTGGAGGTGTTACAAAACAGAACTGTATAAGTTATGGGGGGGGGGGAGATTCTTGCTTAGGCTTTTATCCTATGCTATGTGCAGCCACAACTCTTGAATGAAACCAGCATTGAAAAATTAAGTTCTGTGTAACTCAGGATGAAATTGAATTAGGATCAACACCTTTGACAGTTTGTGGTAAGCCAGTATTTCTCCCAATAAGATCATGCCCAGAGGATCATTAGTTGCCCTCTCCCCTCTTTGGAAGAGCTTTATAGCTCCCGCTGCCTTAAGAAAGTTCAAAACATTCTCAAAGATCCATCTCATCCTGGGCACCCCCTTTTTTTTTTTCTGAACTATTACCATATAGCAGACGATACAGGATACAAGGACAAATAGGCTGAAAAACAGCTTCTATCCCAGGGCAGTAACTCTACAGAATTCTACTGTATAGTGCAATATTCATGCAATATCAGGGGTTTTCAATTCAATGTGTGGAGTGTGAAGGATGTGTGTTTGTGTTTATTTTCATAGTAGTAAATTGTACACTGAAGATGGTATTTAATTTCATTGTATGAGGTGCGATGACTATAAAGTAAAGTAAAGTAAAGTAAAGTAAAGTAAGGTAAGGTAAGGTAAGGTAAGGTAAGGTAAGGTAAGGTAAGGTAAGTTAAGGTAAGGTAAGGTAAGGTAAAGTAAAGTAAAGTAAAGTAAAGTAAAGTAAAGTAAAGTAAAGTAAAGTAAAGTACAGTAAAGTAAAGCAAAGCAAAGCAAAGCAAAGCAAAGCAAATAAGGCTTTCTCCAACCATCTACCATGTCTCCCTTAATAGGGTCATGATAGACTTACCGGGTAGGTCTCTCTCCCCCCCTAAGGCCAGCCCATCCTTGGTCCACTGAACCATGCCACGGTAGCCCATGATCACGCATGCTAATGTCACCGATTGACCGGACACGATCACTTGATCCATAGGCTGCTGAAAGAAATAGGCGGCCAACCCTGCGAAAACAAAACCAAGATTTAAAGTCAGACTGTTTAGTGATCCTAATGAAGAAATCAGGACTTTTTGGCTGGAGCTTCAGAGGAGATACGCTTGAACCGATTTGCTGAATTCAGACTGATTGTCTGCCAAGAGCAGCATTTCGCTTCTGCCAGTGGCCCATTTATCTTGGAAAGTTTACAAGAATGGAGAAAACACAGGCTTATCCAATGCTGCCTTCAGGGCCTGCTACTAGTGGCGTACCACTTCTATACATGGAAGATCGGCATTGTTATTTTATCTAAAAGCAAGTTTTCCCCCCATCTGTAAGGTGGTTTTTTTGTGATTAGCGGTTCTAAATTAGTACATCTTCTTTAGGGTAAAATGATGCCACCTGTAACACGAATCAGGCCAATCCTGAAAAGCTGCAGTGTTGGCAGACATCAATAAGAGGAAATTTTCTATGCTCCTATCAATATGTTAATGGGATATTTGCTTTGCATGCAAAGCATTTCAGGTGAGCTCCATTCCAGTCCAGTAAGACTAAGAATGATCTTCATTTGAAATTTAACCAGAGGTATTTCGTGGCATGGGAGTGGCGTCTGATCATGCCCTTGCCAAGGATCTGTCAGACGGCACTTGTAATTTCTCTCAAGTGGGTCCTGGAGATCTTGCACTTGCGTAGTTGTGAGGAGACCAGGCAGTGGTGTGAGTGAGATTATCCGTTGCACAATCAACTTGTCAGCACTCTGGTGCCACCCTGGTTTTCCATTGCAGTCCAAGCGAAGGTGCCAAAAGAGAATTCCACCAATGGGCCCGGCTGGGCTGCTAGGGGTTCGCAGGGGTTTGGGAGGGCCCCTAGCTAAGCTTCTGTGCAGTTTGGAGAACCCCAAATCCCACTCCTGTCTGGCCCCACCCATCCCTCCCCTCCCTCCCAGGAGTCCCCACGCGGCCCGTTTTGGATGCAGGTAAGTGCAAGGCCCATGCAGACTTGGGGTGGTGGTGAAAAATGGGCCTCCCGGAAGTTCAGGAAGGCCGGAAACGGGCCTGTTTCCGGCTTCCAGAGAGCCTCCGGAGTCCGGGGAGGTCGTTTTTGCCCTCCTGGAGGCTTGAGAAAAGCCTCCGGAGCCCGGGGAGGGCAAAAATGCCCTGCCCCTGCCGCGGTGCAGGAGGCCGACTAGGCCACACCCACCCAGCAACCGGGCAGAGAACCCTCTGCCAATGGGCCTTTTAGCTATCGGGATGTAGAGCAGAAAAGCCCAGCCCAGCGCCCCCTTCCTCCCCCCCGCAACTCGCAGCAGCACTCACAAACCCTGCCTGGACAACCGGTAAGAAATGCCAAGCGTAGGACGTAAGGTAATAAAACGGAGACTCCTTTTTCCTTTTGGTAGAATAAAAAAATAAAAACCTTCCGTTAGCAGAGCCTGTGTTTTGCCACCACCCGCCGCCCGGTAATGATCAGATTGTGTTTCTTGCCTATTCCCGGTGTAATTTCTCTTCCAGTGGCCGAGCCATTTTCCGTTGCAATTCAAAGCCTGCCTGCTCGGAAACAATTCCTACTGAATTAATTCAACGGGGCTTACTCTCTAGAGTAAGGGCTGCATTCTCCCCTCTCTTTTGTGAGAGCTGAAAAAGGCAAACATGTGGAGGAGAAGGAAAGGGGAGATAGAGCGTGCCTTCTTATTCTTATCCTTGTTGTTATTACTTTTAAAGATGACACCGTTGCCCCTCAGGTTCCTGGCGCAGCCTTATCTCTCCACACAGATGCTCAGGTGCAGCCGGTGAGTTTGCTCTTCGGCCCAGGAAAGTTCTGCTGGACTTCCACAGCACCCCTAACGAAACTACTTTCTTTCCTGCCTTTCCTGCGTCGCTCTTGGCAAATGCGTTTAAAAGGTAGCCCAGAGTTGGCAGGCATCCAGGACTGTACACAGACAGAGGTGTGCACCCCAATGCACCATCGGACGACTGGAATCCTAGACCTCAAGATTCTTCTTTCCACTTAAATCAAGGCAGGAGCGGGAAGTCAACGCGGATCATGGTGACACGCGTGTGACTAGATGGGTAGATCCCGTTGATCTTATTACATTAGCTGTACTTTTGAATTCCATTCTTTAACGAAAGAGGGAAATGGATTTATAAAAGGACCCAACACACAAAAAAAAGAGAGAGAGACTTTAGAACGAGCGCAGGGAAGACCAGCAAAAGATAATTAGGGTTGCTGGAGGCTAAAACGTAGGAACTGGGCATGTCTAGTCTAATGAAGAGAAGGACTGGAGTGACATGATAAAGAGTCTTTCAATATTTGAGGGGTTGTCACCAAGAAGGGGACAGCCTATTTTCTAAAGGACCTGAGGGCATGGACAAGACGTCACGGATGGAAAAAGAGAGATCCAACCTAGAACGAAGGGGAAATTTCTTGACAGTGAGAACAATTAGGGCAGGAGTCCCCAAACTTGGCAACTTTAAGACTTGTGGACTTCAACTCCCAGAATTCTCCAGCCAGCTATGCTGGCTGGAGA